TCTATTGCCAAGCATGAAAGTTAATGTCCTATGTACTTTTTCTATAAATATCATGTCATGTCTTGTGCAAACTTCAAAATGTAATACACCCAATAATAGTGAGCTATTGTTTACCCATATACGTGTACATTTCCTATACAGAGAGGGAGAAGAGATGGAATAAAAAGCCACTATTTGAATCCAGTTGAATTGAGATGGACATGAACCTGCAACCTTTAAATTAGTAGTAAGCCATGTTATCTATACTCTGGGACTCCTAACAAAATTTTCTAGGTGATCTAGCCCAGCATTTTGATCATACTAGGAACTCTACATCTCTAGCATCTCTGATTCATACTTTAACTTGAACACCGTGTAAAAATGAAATGGTACATTGCCATATTGTTTAAGAATTGATTATCCTCTTATCCCTGCTGACCACACTTGAGGCCTCTGAACTAAATATCTATTGGTGTCCTGCATGTATCGCACAGAGTAAGTGCACCAAAATAATCTTGTTAAAGAGGTTAATAAATCCATACAATTTGATGGAGAAAAACAGATAAAAATAATTCTGATTTATGCTTCCTTACTTTGCAGTTGCTGATGATTTGTGTTGTTATTTTGTGCCGCTGAAGTCACCCAAGACTCATAACCATCCTATGTACAATAGCTCTGAAGTCTGCCCTCTCCTGAGCCAGTCTCACTGACTCTGGCACACCTACCCTTTTACACCAGTTACTGTGTCAATTGATCTCATCTAAGTCTTCCTCTCCTGCACTGTCCCTTCATCCTTCGAGCATGATCTTCTTCTCCAAGGACTGGTCCCTCCTGGCCACATGCCCAAAGTATGAGAGATGGAGCTTCAAAATCCTTGCCTCCAAGAAGACATTTGGTTTTACCCTCTCCAATACAGACCTATTTGTTTTCTTGGTGGCCCATAGTATGTTCAAGACTCTTCTCTATCACCACAACTCAAAGGTATCAATTTTTCTTTTGTCATTGATGGTCATTGTCCAGCTCTCTGATGCATAGCAAGTAATCACGAAAACCATAATTTGGATCAGGTGCCTCTTAGTCTCTAAACTGACATCATTGCTCCTCAGTACTCTTGAGAGGTCCCTGACAGCAGATTTTCCCAGTGCAATTCATCTTTTGATTTCCTGACTGCTTGGTGCCAAGAGTGTTGATTGTGTAGCTGAGCAAGCTGTAACTGTTAACCTAAATCTCTTCTCCATCTATCATGCTGCTGTCAATTGGCTCAGTGGTGAGACTCGTCTTCTTGATGTTGGGCTTCAATCCATATTGAAGACTACAGTCCTGGACTTTTTGCAGCAAGCGTTTCAGGTCCTCGTCAGTTTCAGCAAATAGTTTTGCAGGTTGTTGATGAGTCTTCCTCCAATCCTGATACCACATTCCTCTTCATAAAATCCAGACTGCCAAATGATCTGTTCCACATATATATTGGAAAAAAAGTATGGATACAGGATGCATCCATTTTCTTCTTTCCTGATTTTGAACCATTCAGTGTTACCTTGCTCTGTTCTGAGGCCTCCTTCCAGGTTCAAGAATAGATTTTGCATGAGCACAATGTTCTGGGATTCCCATTCTCCTCAAGGTTAGCCACGTTGTATATGCCTTTGCATAGTTAATAAAACACAGATAGACATTTTTCTGATACTCTTTGCTTTTGGCCAACATCTGTCTGACATTGGTGATAATGTCTCTAGTACCATCGCCTCTTCTAATGATGACTTAGATGTAGCAGTTATAGAAAGTACAGATTTAAAGTGTGTGTGTGTGTGAGAGAGAGAGAGAGAGAATGAGAATCCAGGATTTGTGTCACATTCACACACTCAAACACTGTAGGAGAAAATGAGCACAGAAAGGATAGGACCAGAGGCTGCTGTTGAGAGGGGCAACTCTGAACCTATAGATTTCCTCCCCGCCCCATCAATAATTTTATCTCCAGGAAGTTATCCTCCAAAATACATATTTTGCCTTTCTTTCTCTTTTGCTAAAGTCCTTCAGTGACGAATGGCTAAAGCCCAAGCTTTAGCCCAGCCTTTCACAATCCAGTGTCTGCCCATCTGAGAATGTCCCATGTAGAGCCTACAGCTCCCCCTTTTCCTAAGGATCAGCCGCCCTCCACCACGCTGCCTCTATATGGCCAACTTCTCCAGGCTGACAAACCTGCTTTCCCCCCTGCTTTTCCAGCTCCTTTAACCCACACCTCTCCGCCCTTCAAAGATTCGTCTTTCTTATCCAAAGTAAAAATTGCTGATTCATGGTTGAGACGTGTTTTGTGAGATGCTGTCAAGTTGATTTTCAACTCATAGTGACCCATGTGACAGACTAGAGCTACCCCACGGGGTTTCTTGTGCTGTAATCTTTACAGGAGTGAATTGCCAGATCTTTTCACTTGCAAAGCCGCAGATTGAGTTCAAATTGCCAAACTTTCTGTTTACAAGCCAAATGCTTAACCATTGCCCTGCCAGGGCTTATTGAGAAAAGCCTTAGTGGTTTTTCTCTTGAATATCTTTTAATAATGCACTTAAACCCATTCCACCCCTGTAGCACATTTTACCTCAAATTGCAGCTGTTTCTATGCCTTGTCTCCCAACTCTTCTCTCTGGTGACTGTTAAATGGGATGGTGCTTGACTCATCTTTATGAAATAAATTTGTGATCAGATTCACTTATGTGCTTTACTGCCCCAGGGGTTTTGTGTATCTTCTCTCAGATCTTTAAAACAGCCTTGTACAATTGGTATCATTTTATAGATGAGAAGATGCAAAGTCAGAGAAGTAGAGCAACTTAGTTAGAACACCATGCCCATAAATATCAGCATCATGTCAGTACCATGCCTCAAACTCAGGACTCCCAACTATGTGCAAAATTCATGTCATTTTCATTGCATTCTGGCTTAAATGACTTGATATATAGAGATATAGATAAGTATTTTAAAAGGGAGCTATGACCCAGTGGTAAAGAGTCACACTGCCAACCTGAAGACATGTGGAGCCTCAGCTGCTCCATGGGAGAAGGATGAGCAGTCTCCTCCTGTGTGATATCTGAAAACCCACTGGAGGGTCAGCAGTGGGTCGATTCCAACTCGACGGCACATAACAACATATGTATGTGTGTGTGTATATATTCTGAAAATGTGATTGATTATTCTTAACGCATGAAATTATGTTTCTTAAGCCTTCTGTATTTTTATTCTATCTTATGTTGTTAATCTTTATTGAGAAAACATTTATTTGGTGTATTCATATTCCAAGCCCAAGGTGGTGTAGCAATGTCTGTACATTGCTGTACAGAGGTAATTTGTGGTTGTTCTAACACATCCACTTAGAGATCAGTGACTGATTGCTTCTGTAACTTTAGGAATACTAAGCACTAGAGTTGGTTTTTCAGTCCTGCCCCACTTAGGATTCAGCTCAAGGGACAGATCATTTCTGTGACATTAATGCATAATCTTTTTCTCCCTTAGACAAACGGTATTTTTAAAGTCACTTAAAGCCATAGGTATATTTAGCATTTCCATCTGACTTTACTAGCTCATCATGAACTGATGAGTAGTATTTCATTTTATCCCAAGCACAAAGAAGGTGCTGATCGTCATGCATCGTTTCATGGAAATGTCATAGTGAAAGCCTTGTATATTCCCTTGGTGATATCAAAGTGGGTTGCATAGCTATTAAAAGTAGCTGGAAGTCTCGGGGAGTAGTATATTTTCAGCAAGAGGACATTTCTCATAAGTTAATGAAACCATTTATGATTTCCAGATGTTTTTTGTTTAGGATTTTTAAATTTATCTGATAATAATATATTTGCTCAAATAAATTTCCTGTTACCCTTAGAAAATCTTTTGTACAGATCTGTGGCACTTTGGTAAACACTCTTGTTCATCATTTTATGAAAGGAAATATTGACAGTGGTTGGGTTAATGGGATGTCAAAAGACAAGGGTTTTTTTGTTTTGTTTTGTTTTTTTTAAAAAAGCAAATTTAATAGATTTCCCTTCAGTACTTTAAAAACAAACCTGCATAAAATAGCTTTGAACAAGGGTTATCCTGCCCCCTCGATCTTCCAGCCTGATGCAGGTACAGCCAACAAATAAAGCGAAGGGTAGCTGAGTAGTTAAGGTTCAGGGTAGACGAATCGTAGGAAAACAAATGACAGTGGCATATTTGTAAAATATAAATTATGCATCATTGACTTGCCAGCTCTTGGCTTTCTACTTTAAAGAAAAAAAATGTTCCCTCTGTAATTTGGGCTCATTTCCAGAGTCCGTACTTCTTGCTGCTAGCTGAGATGAGAAGCCAAGCCCCTCTGCTGTTTGAATTTGCGCAACAATGCTTTAATACCCAGAGCTCCTCCATAAATAGTGTGTTCTCCCACACTCGACAAGAAAACAACGACAGGAAAGAAACCTGGCTTGTGCAGCGAGACCGCTGAACTGCTCTCAGCCTGCAGAGCTGGCGAGAGGGCAGTGTGCGTGCACTCACACATTGCACGCAGCGCACACAGCGCCTGTGCTCCCGGCCTTGCAGGACTGTTTACCTAAAGGGCAAAGAAGTCTGCGTGCAAAGGACATCATGTTGTTACTGCAGCCTTAGCAACAGCAGTATCCCTTTTGTTGTTGTTGTTGCTATTTACAGCCTGGAGAGCAGTACTGCTTTAAGGAAACACAAACTCCTTTCCCTCATTCCTTACCCCAATCAGCAATAATCAAGACTGTCAGCTGGCCAAGGTGATCAGGAAGAGCAGCCCGCCCCGAGGAAGTCATCGTTTCTTTCTCAGAGAAGAAAAGTTAAAAGAGAGCAGATGGATGGTCGCTCCTCACATGCAAGTGGCCAGCTAGTATCCGGGGCACAGCGAGCCATGGTTTTCATTTTTGTGCTGTGTGCATTAGCAGCTGTGGCTTGGGCTGTTTTGTCCAGGAGTGAAATTGCTGCAGACGTCTTTGGGTTTTGGTGAGTAGTGGAGATCTGAGGACATTGTGCTATTATTGCAGAGCTCCACAATGAAGATCCAGGAGCATCCTAGCATACCTGATGCCAAACTGCAGAGGAATCAAGATGCTGATGAGCAGCAGGAGAGCTTTGTCTCTGAAGTGCCCCAGTTGGACCTGACTGCATTGTGCGATGAGAAGAGCTGGGAAGGTAGGATCACCCAATACTTAGGTGATAGAATTTTGCAAAAGGATAAGTAATTGTAACAGACATGCATGGGAGAGAGTGTACCTGTGAGCGCTGTGCGTGTAGAAGTAAATGCATTTCTGAATGACAAAAAAATCTCTTACTTGACAGAGGAACGTATCATGTAAAAATGTTGCCAAGAGTACTTGCAATCTAAGGAAGAAAATAGACAATCCTGTTTTATGAAAGTATCACCTCGAAGTCTTTATAATTTTTTTTTCCTTTTAAACTCACTTGGAATGCTTATGAGTATAGGTGTGGGTGTGGGTGTTCCCCCTAGTAATAGCAACCCTGGTGGAGGGGTAGCTAAATACTCACCTGCCAAAAGGTGGGCAGTTCAAATCCCCCATCCTCTCCATGGAAAAAAGATGTGGCAGCTTGCTTCTATAAAGGTTTTGTAATCTGGGAAACCCTGCAGAACAGGAAGGCTCTTACAGGGTCCCGAGAAGTTGGAATTGAATTGATGGCAGTGGGTTTGGGCTTTTTCTTTTGTTTTTAGTCCCAAGCAGAGTAATAAGGAATTGATAGGAGTTTGGGATTTTGCCTTTCAGTATAACTGAAACCTTTCCACTCCTGCATGATGAACATCTACCTACTTTATCAATCTCCTCATTTTTTTAATAAATCTGTTTTGGTTTTTCTGTTGCTCTTCTGTTCATTTCTATGGGTAGATTTTTTTTTTTAATCCTATTTAGCAAGCAGTAGGAAATCCAGTTTGCTTATCAAAGAGGACATAGATTAAAAGTGCCTCTTTTTCTTTGAATACAGTGCTTTAGGTTTGGGGTTTTTACTCCCTAAAGATTGTTGGTGAAAACATTATAAATGCACTTCTGAGGAAAAAGAAGATACCCTTTTCTGACAGATCTCTTCTATGTCAGGAAGGGTATCAAAGCAGTTATCAAGCTGTTTGTGCTTTCACATCGCATGTGTGAGCATCCAAACATGTATCAATGTGTATCCACAATTAGTGTCAGGCCACCTCTACAGACTGCCAGGCAGTGTGCATGTCACACGGTATGTATGGTTTGAAGGTGACAAAGAGGAGGAAATTGTGGTCCTGATTTCAGTAAAGCAGCATGACACAATGACTTAGCAGAGAATCACAACTATGAAAACTCAATCCTTACCAGCCTCCGGATTTTTCCTCTTTATCCTTCCTTTAAAAAAAAAAAAAAACTCACAAAAAATCCACTCAAGTTTACTGGTTATGCAAATAGGTTTAGAGGTAGAACCACAAGGTGATCTAACAAGACCACAAGGTGAAAGAAAGTAGCCCCTTTGTGCGCCTCACACCCAGGGCTTTAGTGAGAGAACAGTCTGTTTGCCCATCCCAGCTCTCCTCCTCCTTTCCAATTGAAGATGTGTGTTAAAGCTCTTTCCATATAATTAGGCAATCTGCTTGAAATCTGTCGATTTTTCCTTTCTCACAATCTGTGCGTGGAGAAGAGGGAAAAATAGGTCGAGATTGTGTTTGTTTTTCTTTTAAATGATGCATTCCTGGATTTTCTTCTGTGTTGTTGGTTTGGCTTTTTAAATTTTTGAATAATCACATGTGTTGTCATTTATCTTATTCACATATTAAAACAACTTTCTCAAAAAAAACAAGGTCCCAGGGTTGTTACTGTTACCAAAAAAAAAGGAAAAAAGTCAGTAACCAAAATAAGTGTATTTAAGTTTCAAGAGTATGACATTGTAGTTATTTGCAGTATCGTTAACATAAAACTTGGGGAGGGGGGATGTTTTTCAGTCAGAATTAAAAATACCCCATGTTATCTTGATGATTTATTCAGTAAAGTTTCTGATAGATTTTTCTTCCTTCGGCTCCTGAAATGGGTTCAATTTAATTATTTTTATGTTAGTTTATAATGAGTTTATATTCTCTCCATAAACACTTAAAGAGGCTGAAAAATGTAAAGCTGAAAATTCTCCATGAGGTGAGTGAAAGCTAACTTACAGTCTCATTAAAAAAACCCAACTTCATTAGTTAACATGAAGATCTTTCAAGATAAATATAATAATACCAAGAAACTAACATTTTATTTTGTACTGGGAAAATAGATGAAATAAAATATTCTTGTTTAGGGAAAATAAATGGCATTTCAATAGCTTTAGGAAGGCAAACTATGATTTGCATTATCCATATTTATAAAGTAGTTTGTATTGATTTTTTTCAGTCAGCTACTGTATTTGTCACGTAACAGTCATTGAACTTACATATATCTAACAATGGATGCATTTCAAGGTCTGTTTTTATCATTCGCTTACTCCTCCCAGAGGCCAATTTTGTTATTATTTTTACTTTCTAAGTTGTATGCTTGTTGTCATCCATAAGTATTGTAGGAATAAAGGAATTTTCACATAATATGGAGATTTTTTAAAAAAATCATCATGTTCAATCACTTAATTGACAACTTTTTTTAATAGTGTTAGCATGTAACAACAAAATGGCGACTTCCAGTAAGAAATAAACTTAGTATTAATTTATATGGTGATTATGAAACCAATGCAACAAGGTGCATCCATGGAAGTAATTCTTACTTAAAAATACATGATTGAGTATCCATCCGTCATCACTAGTTTGTAAGCTACTATGTTATCTAAGACCCTTTTGATTAGATACTTACTCCTTATCCCCACACTATCAATGATGCAAAATCATCATTCATTACCAGCTACCCACCAGCCACTGTAGTCTGTACTGTCTATCACTGTGTATCAAAGGTACTTAACAACAACAATATAGAATTTAGGCTTTTTTTACTTCTAGGCTTCAGTTAGGGAAGCAGAAAGGAAAATGAAGTAAATTAATAAACAGATTCTATAGCTTACTCATAGTAGAACATTCTTAAAAGAATTTAGGATTAGCACTTAATCAAGCTTTTTGGTAGATATGAGCCATGTTTACTCATTTGTTAGCTGTCTATAGTTATGCATGATCCTATTATTCCTAGGGAAGCCAATCTTTCCAAGAGTAAATAAACGCATTTCTTTCAGCATTATATAAATAATTGGAATGCTCTTAAACAACCAGTTCATAATAATTTGGGGGTACCTTATATAAAGTTTTGGGGTTTAAGCATTCTGCAGCTCTCTTATATTTGGCCGGGTGATACTAAGTTTAAAAGAGTATAAAAGATTTCATGTACTTTACTTATCCTTTATGTCCTCATCAAAAATAACTTTGGAATGGAAATTTCTCTCAAATAATCATAGAGAACGAAGAGATTTTAAAGACCTCACAGTTGCATCCTCCCATCACGTAGGAAAGAAAACCGAGGGTAAAATAGGCAACATGATGATCAAAGTAGCAGAGCCCTTGACTATAACTGCAATACTATTTTTTAAGTGAGATTCATTGTGTGGCAGTGGAACGCAATGGTTAAGAGGTGGACTCTCTGAGTTTCAATTCTGGCTCTCTACTTTGTGGGAAATCTAGTTACCCCAAGGCCTCAATTTTCCTGTCTTTAAATGGGGCAGATAACAGTAGATAGAGAATAGATATAATAGTAAGTTTGTTGCCTGGCTTAAATGAGTACAGTGTCTGGTACATAGCATGTAGCTAATGTGAGTTGTAGTCATTGTCTTCCTTAAATATTTCCAGTTATAGTTTCAGGAAGAATCCGCCTAAATTTGTTTCCTTTGAAACCATGGCATTATTCTAACTAATGAGGATGGATGGCTCAGGACACATCCACATGGAATCAGAATCAGCAAGTACTAGGTCGGCCGTGGATTTGTTGCTATTCATGTTAGTTGTTGTCAGTTTTTATACATGGTCACCCATGTGTACAGAGTAGATCAGCTGCAAAATTTTCAAGGCTGTGACCTTTCAGAAATAGACAAACAGGCCTATCTCCCAAGCCTCTCTCATGGATTTACTCCCATGGAGTAATCTTCTCCCATGCCATGACTCTGAAAACTTGCTTCAGAGTCAGTTTTGGGTCAGTTCCAGTTTGATGGAAATGAGAGAGAGAAAGAGACAGAGAGAGAATATGAATCAATTCACAAGCAGCGGTGGTGGCACAGTGGTAATAACATGGCCACTAACCAAAAGGTTAACAGTTTAAACCCACTGGCCACCTTGTGCAATCTGCTCTGTAAAGATTACAGCCTTGGAACTTCATGGGCAGCTCTTCTTTGTACTATAAGATCGCTATGAGTTTTAACTCAGTTCTCAGGGTGGCAGACTGGTTAAATGCTCCTTTGCTAATCAGTAGATTAAGATTCAAACCCTCTCCGAAAGTCCAGAGGAGAAAGTCCACTGGCAATCTCATAAAGATCACAGAAAACTCTATAGGAAAGTTCAGTGCTGTGACATCAGTCGATATGACTGATGAACAATAACATTCAATTCACACTATCCTCCTTCCTTTCTTAGGTGATGTATTAGACTTTGATTTAAAGAAAGAGTGCATCAGAAAACGCCTCAGCTGGGTAGCTGCCATTGACTTCTTATCAAGTCATTAGATAAGGTCCTCAGTCCTAACCGGCTCTGCATTTATTAAAGATTTAAATGAAGCTGTGGAGAGCCTTTGATTGAATTTGCATGTGGAGGCAGATCATATGAAATTTAAGGATAAGATTGTTGATTGATAAAGTTATTTCTGAATCTGTTAGTTTGCAAGACTGCTTGAACGATTTCTTAGTACAACCATTATTCTGAGGTTAGGTTTTAGAACGTTAAGAAGAATGTTATTATACACAGGTTCCCCTATTTTACCCTCTCCACTTAAAAAATTCTCCCTTGTGGGTCTTGCATGTTTCTGTATCCGGATGTGCATGTATCTCTAAGCACTCCTGAGTGGCCTCCTTGAAAAATGGTTATGGCATCATGCCAAGTAGTAATAGCTCTAAATAATATATAGTTGGAAAAGAAATGAGGAAAACATCAGCTCCCTCAATTTTGTGCAGATTTCTTAGAAATAAATCATCTGAGTAGCCAGTTTTTTTCAATGTAGTAAGTGGACACAGTTACCTTAGTACAGAATAGCCCAGACCCAGTGATCACATCAGCATGGCTGAGTTACACTCCTTCCCTCTACCTTGAATTGCCTTTATGTTCACATGTTCATAGTGTGTGAATGGGAGCACCACCAAGACATGTTCTTTATGTTGTTGGCATGCAGTTTTTGTTTTGCTTTATTTCATTTTGTTCACTGTAGGAATGTGTAGGAGATATTTACTGTTGTGTTTTATGCCTCCCAGTGAATTCCTTGACCATTCCATGCACTGTCTCCCTCTGTGGGTCTATGTACAGTTTTTATCTGCTGTTTCTGATATGCTCTGATGTCATATGACCCCAGTGGATTAATTTGTAATAGGAAGACATGTGACAAGACACTTGACTAAAATCAAGGTTGCTGTACCCACAGAATTCTAGTGTAGATATGAGAACACATTTAGTTTGCATGCGGGAGAAAGATGGGCAGTGTCCTCCTAAGAAGCCTCCAAAAACATGCTGAAGGGCCAGCTAGGAGTTAATTCTAAACACACACAAATGAGTGAGTTGAGGTGCTTGAAAAGCAAAATCCATTTTGAAACGTCAAATCTTTTCTCTTTGAATTATTTTCTTGCAATCTTCTTGTCTATTGTATGGCTCTAAAATTAATGGTTTAAAAATAAAAAGAAAAATTTCTGAAACTAGGTACTGGGGTTAGGGTGGGAGTTGTCAGTATAGGCTGAATAGGATAAAAGAAAGGAATGAAGGAGAAAATAAGAACGTGCCATGTTGCACTAAAGAGAAATTTTTCATTTTTACTCTACATGCAGATCCCTTTTAAAAAAATTTTTTTAAGCTGAAATTCATGATGACTTTTCATTTTTAAAATGGGCTTAAAAGAGAAATTGTCACTCATTCTCTCAACTTCATTCAGCTGTCTACTTCATCGATACCCCTTGATGACACTAGGAACACAACACATTCAGTGTTCTAACTACTAAGGTTCTTGATCAAGAAAAAAAATACGCAAAAATAAATATATTTTTACAAGAAAGGAAAACCTGTGGATAGCTCTATGAGCCACAAAGCATCACCTGATTAGCATTTTATAATTAATTCAAGATTACAGTTTGAACTTGCTTACTGGACACAGGCACATACAAATTCTCTTTGCAAAATTATTTTGTACACAGAGGCCACATGGTTGAAAACTTGCATCAGAGATTAATTAGTTGAAACATTTTTAATAGAGATGCTGCTAGATTCAGACGAGTTAAAGAGTTTCGAGACTAACACCTTTTCGAATGAGGTTTGGATGAGTAGAAATAGCAAACCAGCCAGCACACGTATGCCAATATCAACATCAGACTTTGTTTTCCTGATGCCCTCTGTCCCCAATAACCTTCTTGCCCTTCCCTAAAGTTGTTTTTTTGCTCATGTGCCATTCTGTTCAAGCTGTCTTAACCCCTTCCCTGCCCTCACTTATATTCATTTCAGTTTCTTTGTAGAAATGCTATCATTGAAAATATCATTAAATAAAACTCCAAATTTGGTCAGTTGGTGAATTTTCTTTTCTCCTTTTAAAAAAGTAGAAAAAAAAAATTAGAGATTATTTTCAACTCACATATCTTCACCTCTCAAAGCATATTTTTCTCCTCTGCCTGTGGTTCAGAGCTGTTCATATCTGAACTCTGTTCAGGAGGAGCAGACCAGTAACATTAATACCAAGAATTGAAAAACTCCTGTTTATCTCTGACTTTCAACAGGTAGATTTGCCAACAGCCACTCTGTAACTTTCTTAAGTCTCAGTTGACAAGAACTTGTTTTTAAGCCTGCTTTCAGTGTTCTAAATATTTATATCATCTTTGTCCCATATAACTTGGGGTTTGTTTTTTTTCAAAATTTAAAAACCTTTAGACCTTTTCCACGTGAGTTTAACAATGTTGAAGTATACATGCTTATGTCTCTGTATTTCTGTGATGCTGTGTGTATTGTCAAAAAATTCATGCAGTCACTTGGATTGTTATTGAAGCCTTATAGCACAGTGAAGTGAACTGAAGCACTGACTTGGAAATTGGGAGACTTAGTGTCCAGTCCCAGCTGTTGCCATTAATTAGCTAGTTATTCTTAGATACTGAACCTTTTGGGTCCTTACTTTCCTTTACCAGTGTCTGTTGGATCAGAACAAATTGGTTATCAAATCTGGCTGCATATGAAAATCATTTGGACAATTTTTTAAATTGTGTGTTTGTGTGTATGTCAATTATATGTTTGTGTCCTCACCTAAACATGCTGTTAAATTGGGCAGAGTAAGGACCTGTGCACTTGTAGTTATTGAACTCTTTCCCTCAATGCGTCTAGGAGCTTAATGACAGGGTGAGTAAAGTGTTGGCTCGTTCGCTGAAAGGCTGGCGGTTTGAGCCCCAGCAGCTTTGGAAGAGAACGATGTGGCAGTCTGCTCCTGTAAAGGTTTACCGCCTCAGAAGCCCTCTAAGATTGTTTTATTCTGTCCTCTAGGGCTCCTCTGAGTTGGAATCAAGTTAATGGAAATGGTGGGTCAGTAAGCATGAGACTAATATGCAGCCAGGCTTGACAATCCCTAAATTAGAAAATGTTACATTTCACCCTACTCTAATAGTTCACCATTGTAATATGGGTAATATTCATTAAATGGTGAGTATGTACTTCTTTAGGATAATTTTGTAAATTTAATGAAATAATTTGATAGCTGAAGAAGCAATTTTCTTATGTCTTCTAAAAGTTGCAGAATTGAAAGTCATAATCAAACTCTAGGTCAGCATAAATTGTGGCATTCCACAAGTGAATTTAAAACAGGACATTTATTTGATGAAGTGTATTACAAGTGATGATGTAATTTTATGCCATCTGAGAACTATCATTAAATTCTATTGCACAGAATTTTTTATAAGGAAAAGAATGTATTGACACAATCTGTCTACCAACATGGTACATCAAGATTTTGTGCTTCCCAGAGGAACACGGTTCGAATCCACCAGATGCTCTGCCGGAGAAGGAGGTGCAATATCCTCCTGTACCAGTCAGATCTGATTTGACAGTACACACACACAAAATAATAAAATTTAAAAAAAAAAAAAAAGATTTTGTGCTAATTATGTTTAATTCTTTAAAGTTTCTCTAAAACAATCTGTTCGACTTGTCCTGTGGGAGGTGATTTTTTTTAGCTTTTACTACTTTATAGGCATATCTTACCCTGACTACAGGCTTGAGCAACTTGTTGTTTTGAGTATAAAGCATGCATCTTAGACATGCTAATCCCAAGGCCTAAGCAGAAACATGCAAAACAGCTTAGACTTAAACGGAAGTTGCAGACGCCTGATGAAATAGGCATGCACAAGATCAGTTTGATTTTTGAACTTGATAGCTCAGTCATTTCAGTGTGGGATGCATAGGAGTGGCTCCATCCCTGCCTACTTGCTTTTCTTTAAATAATGGCCTCACATGCAAAAGTCTTTGCTGAACACACCTGCTGGGGGTGTTGGAAGCCTATATTCCTGTCTCCTCCTCCAAGGCAGCCCTGCTGGTAAGGTCTCCATTGAGAACAAATGAGAACAGAGATGGAAAGATAGAGGATGAGTGTCTGGTGTTTGGATGATTGTCTGGTGTTTTGATGATAGTGTTCCTAGCCAGCACCTTAAATCTGAAATGAGAAACCGTTCAACAGACTTGTTTCCGAGAGCATTCAGAAAACTGGGGAAATAATTGTGTTTCATTTTTGCAATCAGACCTGTCACTAACTTCCTCTCTTTGTCCAGAGCCCATCCCTACTTTCTCCACGTGGCAGCGGGAGAGCATCGACCCGGACGAAGTGCGCCTCTCACCGCAGGCCGGGCGCCTCATCAGCCAGCTTCTGGAGGAGGACAGTGACCCCATGCTCTCACCTCGCTTCTATGCCTATGGGCAGAGCCGGCAGTACCTGGACGACACAGAAGTGCCTCCTTCTCCCCCAAATGCCCATTCTTTTATGAGGTGTGTCTCTTTGTGTTGCTGATCACCACATGACAGGATGGAGGTGCCTGTTTGGGAGGAACATTCTTGGTCCCAGGTCCCTTATTATGTTGTTGGTTTTCAGTATCACATGTTGAATGAACATTAGCATCTCTTTCCAAGGTGTTCTTAAATACAGGACTTTTGGCACACTATTTTAGAATGACCTGTCAAGTCTTTGCTAATTGTCATTGTGTGTTACACAAGGCTGGTATCATCCTTGCTGAGCTCCAGCTCCCAGGGACCATATATATATAACAGAACCATACCCTGCCTGATCATGTGTCATTCTCAAAATCCCTGCTGTGCTTCAGTCTACTCTTATAGTCACTGGGCCAAAATCTCTCTCGCTGAGGGTCTTCCTCTCTTTCATTGACCATCTTTTCCAAGGGTAATGTGTTTCTCCAAAGACCAGTGCCACCTAACAAAATGCCCCAAGTGACAAATTTCACCATTCTTGCCTCTCAGGAGCACTTCCTCCAAGATAGACTTGTTTGTTCATGATCTGTTCAATATGTCTTCACCAGCACCACAGTTCAAAGGCATCACTTCTTCCTTGGTCTTTTAATGGTGAGCTGTATAGAGTTCAGAGTCACCAAAGTAATTTTAAATTTTAAAAGTAATATTCCAAAAATTAATAGTCAACTTTTCTTTATTCAAGAGGAGGAAGGCTAATTTAGACTCTCCTCCTCCCTATTGCATGGCATCCCTCATCCCCAAAGCCCATTTTGAGGGGGAACATGGGGGCACTCTCTGCTGTTGGGGAAGCTGATGAAGTCATACCCCCCTCCCAGGCAACGGAGCTGCTCCCTGGGGTCCTACGATGATGAGCACGAAGACCTAACACCTGCCCAGCTCACGCGGAGAATTCAGAGCCTTAAAAAGAAGATTAGAAAGTTTGAAGACAGATTTGAAGAAGAGAGGAAGTACAGAGTAAGTGATTGCTCACAGGGCCCTCCTCATTCCCTTTCCCCTGACACAGAGGCGTGTCAGCAATGCAGAGAAACTATGAAAGGTCATGGGGTAATGAAGATCACTGGGGAATTTCAAAACAAAAAGGCAATAAAAACTGGGTAGTAAACTTTGATAAATCCCAAACATGTACCAACATATTCCTTCTCTGAGTTAATCTTCCTGAATACAGTGAAAGCTCAACTCTGCGTTTTACACATTTATCAGTGTAGAGGAACGGGGGAGGTCATTGAATAAAGCTTTTTGTTTGGTTAAAACTTAATTCAAATTTATCTTGTTCTAAAATTCCCTTAGCTCTGATCTCTGTCTACCTCCAGCTCTCTATTCTTAGTATTCCTCAAACATAGTGGCATATGGGCATTTTTCATGGTGGATAGGGTAAAACACACCTCTGCTTTCGACTCTGTTAGTCTTACATGTTCAACCCTACAAATAATGGAAAGGCTCTACACATAACCCAATACGAGTCTATGGCCATAAAACTCATCACTTTGCCTTGAAGGAATTACTTGAAAGTGTAAAAATGTACTAACTATAAAATGTTTGCTGTTGCCATCTAATTGATTCTTACTCCATCCAAACCCATATATAGAACTGTTCCAAAGAGTTTTCAAAGTTCTGACTTTTCCAAGGCAAATCACCAAGCTTGTCTTTGAGGTAACGCTAGGTAGATTCGAACCACCAATCTTCTGGCTAGGAGTAAAGTGCTTTTTGTACCATCCTAGGGCTTAATTACACCTGTGAAATTTGCTCTGATTGATTATGGTTCATTTCTGTTTAAATGAGACTCAACTCTTCCTGTTTAAAATGAAAATGATCATTAAGCACTTCTCTTTTTTTGCTCTCGTTCCAAAATATTTACTCTAGACTTCCTTTCTCAGCCTTCCCACAGTGACAAAGCAGCCAACCCAGAGGTCCTGAGATGGACAAATGACCTTGCCAAATTCCGGAAACAGCTGAAAGGTAAGTGATGTTCTGGACTTGTGGTGCCGTTTCTATACAGTAAGCCAAGTGCAGAGTCCATCATCTCCCCCCTCACCCCCTGGCCAATGCTGAGATATTCCAGAAAAGACAGGTCCTTGAGAATCTAACCCAGTATTCTGAGCTGGCTTGAGGCCTGCCCTGGGTCTTAGACACGTGGTAAACTCAGATCAACTAAGATGTAAAGTCGTAAATGACTTGCATCAAGATGATGGTTTCAGTTACTTAATACTATTAATCAAAGGCTCCATCTGTTTGCTATTAAATGAGAAGACCTAGAAATACAGAGAACATTTGGGGGGGAAATGTTTGATTTGTGTCTTTCAAAGGACTTGCTGTATTTTAGGAGATAGAGCCACAATAAGAGCAAAACAGAATACAAAGTGAAAATAACTTCTAATTGATGTTTTTCAGTCATAGAAGGAAAATTGTCCAAAAGCTGGTAGTTTGATCCATAAATTCCTTTAAAAACTAAGGAAATAACCACAGGAGGGCACTTGCCACTCTCTGAGAATGACAAACAGGTTAGTGTGGCTAAAGTGGCTGGAACTTTCTCAGGAGTTTGTGTTAGGAAAACACATGAGAGAAATAAGGTTTCACACACAGGTTTTACAGAATAATTAGAATATTTCCACTAACCGTGTAATTAAGTACTCTTTGAAAAAGACAAGACTGATTGGGACTAAGCCATTATTGACAACACAGTAAAACAGACATTCGGTTCTCTTATATTTCTTGAATTCTTTTTAACTAGAGTCAAAACTAAAGATATCTGAAGAGGACCTCACCCCCAGGATGCGACAGCGAAGCAACACGCTCCCCAAGAGTTTTGGTTCCCAGCTAGAGAAAGAGGATGAGAAGAAGCAAGACCTGGTAGATAAAGCAATCAAGCCTAGTGTTGAAGCCACACTGGAATCCATCCAGAGAAAGCTCCAGGAGAAGCGAACAGAAAGCAGCCGCCCGGAAGACATTAAGGTATGATGACTCCACAAATCCCCAAGCTAAGAAAACACAGTAGACACTTGACCATGCCATGTTAATCCCTAATGGAAGAGCAATGCACTGATGCCTGTTAAACCTCACACCTTAACTCTGGGACTCTTAGATGTCCAGAGAAGCAAAGCAAATGACTTAACAGCTTTTAGCTGGGAGTACTATAGGTTTTGATCTGAAAATCAACTTTGCAAATTGAAAGCAGGTATACACTGTAGGGCGTATTTATTGCAGAATGCATTTGTTAAGTTTATTCGATATTTTGGTGAACCTCTGAGGTAGAAAGATTCTAGACAAACTTTTGAAACAGAGTAATTTGACACTGTAGTCATTTCCTGGCTGCTGACCCAAGTGCCATGTGCATTGGAGCTTTGTTTACTTCAGTGTTCAGCTTGCCTTTAGAGCTGTGGGGGACATAAAAGTAGCTGAGGATTCTGTTATCTCAGTATAGAATTGACCCAGTGATTGCAGCAATGGGTTTGAGTGTGGCAGAGGATAACACGAGATAGGGCGGGGCTTAGATTTGTTTGTTCAAAGGTTTCCTATGAGTTGTAATTGAAGCCACAGCACTTAACATCCATAATTTGAACAATAGACAGTAATTGGTAATTCCTCAGCAGATTCTGGGTATAGATTGAGAAAGAGCTTGTCCTTTCTTGAGGAAATGACTTGAAATCATGAAGTTGGAATAGTAACAAGTGTTCCCTCTCTTTCATTTCTGTGTCTTTGTGTTTACACAGGATATGACCAAAGAGCAGATTGCTAATGAGAAAGTAGCTCTCCAGAAAGCACTGCTGTATTACGAAAGCATTCATGGACGGCCGGTATGTGCATGGACTGGGTTTTCTTCTTGGAATAAATTTTCTGGTTTTAGAAATGGATCTTCTTTCTATGTTCAGCACCACACAAGTGGGGTTCCTTTATGTTTCCTTTTAGAATAAAAGAGATTATTATTAAGGGTACTATACTTTTTTCCAAGTGTTTTATAGTGTCTTAGGTAGAAGTTTACACAGTAAATTAGATTCTCATTCCACAATTCACACACACATTGTTCCACAACATTGGTTCCAGTCCCTGCAATGTGTTCGATTTCTCCCATGTCTAACCCCCATTTCCGTCCTCCCAGTTTCTCTGCCTCTCAGTACTTTCTCATCTTTGTTTTTGATCAAATGCTGACCATTTGTACTTACATACTTGATTATTTAAAGGAGCTCATTCTTTATGGATATTATTATTATTTATTGTGTAGGCCAATCTCTTATCTGGGAGAGGCTGTGATTCCAGTGGAAAAGGCTATCTTAGGGCCATCCTCTCAGGAGTTTGTCTCATACAAGAGGTTGGATATTTTAATGAAGTTGAGTTTTGTTCTACATTTTTCTTCTGTTCCAACTGGCATCTTCTGTTGTACTTCTGTCAACAATAGTTGGTAGTGGTAGCTGGGCATAATCTAGTCATTCTGCTCTCAGGCAAAAAGAAGCTCTGTAGTTCACGTAGCTCGTTATTACTCAATTGTATCAGAAGATCAAAGACTATAGCCTTCAATATGGATTATACCTCAACATCAAGAAAACAAAACTTCTCACCACTGGACCTATAAATAATATCATGATAAATGGAGAAAGGATTGAAACTATTAACAAATCGATCTTACTTGGACTCACAATCAACTTACCTGGTACCAGCAGTCAGAAAACCAGAATATGTATTGCATGGGTAAAGTCTGCAGTGAGGGACCTCTCCAAATTACTGAAGAGCAATGATGTCAGTTTGAAGACTAAGGTGTGTCTGATTTGGGCCATAGTCTTTTTGGTCATTTCCTATTGCTTCTGAGAGCTGGACAATGAATAAAAATGACAAAAGAAGCGAGGTCTTTGAGTTTTGGTGTTGGAGAAGGGTACTGGATATCTCATGATTGCCAAAAGAACAAACAGATTTATTTTGGAGAAAATGCAACCAGAGTGCTTCTTGGAGACAAAGATGACAAAACTGAGCCTTACATACTTTGAGCATGTTGATAGAAGATTTTCCTTGAAGAGGGACATTATACTTGAAAAACTGAAGTCTTGATAAAAGAGAGGAAGACCCTCAATCGGATATATTGACACAGTGACTGCTGAAATGAGCTCAAGTACGTCAGAGACGATGAGGGCAGCACAGGACAGGGCAGGGTTCAGATCTGTTGTTCATACGTCCCTATGAGACATATTCAACACGACAGCACCTAACAACAATAGAGGCTAATAATCAAGGATGGCATAGAGTGTATAATTTTCAGGATCCTAACAAATGATCAGTAGTTCAAATCTCCCAGTCATTCTGCAAGAGGAAGATGAGCAATCTCCCACCAAGAAGACTTACAGCCCTAGAAACCTAATGGAGGGTCATTATGAGTTGGATCAAGTTGACGGCAGTGGGATTTGGAATGGCTAATGATGACAAGCATCTCAAGTGTTAGCCACACGACTATCTTTGGTGAAGTGTCTATTCAAGTTCTTCACTCATTTTTTTTTAAATTGGATTGCTTGTCTTTTTGTTGTTGAAAAATTAACATTTTGTATATATTTTAGAAATTAAATCTGTGACCGAAAGGATTTTTTCTCCCCCCCAGGCTTTAGGTTCTCATTTTACTCTTGGCAAAGTCTTTTACTGAGCTTCAAGTATTGTTTTTCAAGAATATTATTTATGTCAAAAATCAGGACCCCTACCTTTATCCCTTTTATATACCAGGAATGTCATAGTTTTTGCTTTTAACACTTAGGTCTTCATCCATTTTGAGTTCGATAGTGTGTGTAGTGTTAGATTTGGATCCTACTTAAATGAACATCCAGATTTGCCTCCACTATTTTTAGAGACCATCTCTTCCCTATTGAATGGACTTTAATTTTTTTTGAGGATAGAGTACTATGTTTTATTCACTCTAATACTAAGCTTTTTGTTGTCTTAATCTTTGAGTTATCTATTAACTAGAAACTGACTGAATTTAATTGTGTTCCAAAGAAAATTAGTTTGAAATTAAAATTTTATCACTAGTGCCCTGCTTTATTGGGAGAAAAGATAGAGTGAGTGTGGGCTTGTGCACATAGTACTGGAACTTCTCTGACCCCCTCACCTCCAATCTTCCCTACAACTGCTCTGAGCTACAGTAAATTTATTAATTTACTTGTTAATAAAACGAATGAGCCACAATTTAGTCGCCCCGCATTACTTGTTTATAAAGAATCTCTATTGCCATTGAGAGCCAAGCGTGTAAGGAATCCAAATATGGTGTTACTTGTTCATAACAGCAGGAAGCATTTGAGAGAATTTGTCCTTCTTAAGGTGTTTATTGAAGGCTTATTGTAAGCTGTAGGGGAGATAGTACACAGGCTTCTGCTCTTCCTTGAATAACTTGGAATCCGATATCCTTCTCGCCGGTCACTCCTGGTAAACTCCTATTCAGAAATGTTGTCAAGAATCCAAGAAAACAAGGTCTTTAGAGCAAGTTTAAGGAAGCCAAGAGACTAGGTTTATAACTAGCTTCTTCTGTTGCAAAAACGTAGGTCTCTTCTCCTGCCTTGGCAAAGCCTGTGGAGTGGATATAATGTTTTCTTCAAAAGTACACCTTAAATAAAGCTTCTTGAATAATGCACTGGATTCTGAGTTCTTTGAGAACAAGGATCCTGAATTTTATTCCTGTTTGTGAGCCTGACCGTTGGCATTTTGCACGGAAGCTCACCGATAGCACGTGCCCAGTAAACTACCTGAAAATGTGTTCTCCATGGCATTGTGTCAGTTTTCCATTTTAAAAGAAAATAATAAGTTGAAGTGGATAATAACTGATTTTGCTGGCCTGTCGCTGCAGTGGAAAAATACAGACACTCTGGGATAATTTTTATGTTTCAGCCAAGTTTAGTTTGGGGTTTTGTGAAGGCATTGAACCAAACGGTAAATGCACTGGAGCTCAAATATATTGTGAAATTGTGTCTTTCTCTGCAAGAGTACAGGCAGTCCCTAGGCTAAGAAGGGAAATTCATTCTTGTGTCTCTAAGAATTTGTAAATTGAAACAGGTGAACACAGTTCTTATTTAGACTTAAATTAGTGTGAGAAAAAGCCTGAAGCCTTTTCATGGATTTAAAGTCTGCATGGGCTGCAAATGAAGGTGATTGTGATGAAGAAAATCTGTTGTGCGAACTGGACTTTTGTAACCAGGGGACAACCTCCTATAGTCAGAATCTGTAGAGGTAGAGCTGGATTACTTTTAATGGAGTAAAACCTCTCCTGCTCTAGTCAGAGCCTCAAAGTGGCAGTCTCGTGGTCACAAGGCAGATCTTGGTGAAAGTGGTTAAAGCTGTACACTTCCCTTCTTCTAAGTTTTCTTTTTTTTCTATTGTGTGGCTTCAAGTCAAGAGCCCTCATGGCACAGTGGTTAAACAGTAGAGTACTAATGCAAAGCTCAGCAGTTCAAACCTGTCTGCCACTTCATGGAAGAAAGATGTGACACCCTGTTTCCCGAAAGATTGTAATCTTGGGAACTCGCTGGGGCGGTTCTTTTCTGTCCTACAGGTCACTGTGAGTCAGCCTCAGTTCCTTGGCACTGGGTTTTTGTTTGGATCCTGCTTATGACACAGATCCTTTGCAGGACTTCCTTGCTCGAGGCCTCCAATTAACTACATTTGAGACGAGCTTACAGTTGCCTTTAAGGTGGAGATAGCTTGGCTGCCAGCACAGAGGTTTGTGAGCGACAGTATATGTTGCTCTGTGCTGGGTACAGATTCTCTCTTGCCACCTAGACTATGGCTATAGTCAGACACCGTGAACCTCTCAGTTGGCAGGCCTGGATTCACAGCTCAACCCTCATGAGACAAGCTGTGTGATCTGAGGTACCTCAGTAACCCAGACAGTCATGGACTCTCTCAATGTTTTGCCTGTATTATAGACCCCTACTGTAGGGTGTCAAAGACAATTAAATGAAAATATGCACCCTTTCATTCTTGACAACTTCTGATTCTTCTAGATTCATACGTAAATATATTCTGTGTTCTAATTATTAATGGATATTTGCAACTCTCCCACTTTTAAGCCATGCCATACCAGCAACTGAAGATTCCAGAAACTTTGCACTTTCCATATTATGAAGGTCAACTCTATCTTGAAGGGGCAGCTTGTTCCTTAGTCATAGCATATTATGCTTTCTAATCTAAGGAGAGCATCTTTCAATGTTCTGTTACTATTTGGAAGATTGGCACTGGCCAATTTTGTTAGAACAATAACATATACATACATTAATAAATAAATGTGGTTGGGTGTCATCAAGTCATTCAGTGTCTTTACGTAAAACAGAACAAAGCACTGCTTGATCCTGTACCATACTTACAATTATTGCAATATTTGAATCCTTGTTGCAGCCATTGTGTTTATCTATGTCGGTGAGGGTCTTCTTCCTTTCACGGACACTGTTCTTTACCAAGGATGATATCCTTCTCCAAATGAAGTCTCCTGATCATCTAAGCATCACTCTGGCTGGACTTCTTCCAAGATGTATTTGCTCCTTCTTCTGTGGTCCATGGCATGTATGGTATTCTTCACCGACACTGTAATTCTAAGGCATCAGTTCTTCTTAATTCTTCTTATTCATTGTCCAAATTTCACATGCATAGGAGGCAAATATTCTGGCTTTTAACATGTTAAAGCAATCTCTTGTGGCATATTTGTTCCATGTGATACATCCATCCTCTGAGTTCTTGAATGCTCTTTCCATGGGTGTTGATGGTAGATCCAAATAAAATTAAAATCCTTGGCACCTTCAGTATTTTCTTCATTTACCATGGTAGAGTTAGGAAGCTA